TGGTCCAGTTGTGAGGATTTTTGTTTTTCTTTATGTTGAGGTGTAATCCATACTGAAGGCTGTAGTCTTTGATCTTCATCAGTTAAGTGCTTCAATTCCTGTTTGCTTTTAGCAAGGAAGGTTATGTTATCTGCATTTTGCAGGTTATTAATGAGTCTTCCTCCAATTCTGATGCCCAGTTCTTCTTTACATAGTCTAGCTTCTCAGATTATTTGCTCAGAATACAGATTGACTAAGTATGGTGAAAGGATACAACGCTGACACACACCTTTCCTAATTTTAAACCACACAGTGTCCCCTTGTTCTGTTCGAATGACTGCCTCTTGGTCTGTGTACAGGTTCTGCATGAGCACAATTAAGTGTTCTAGAATTCCCATTCTTTGCAACGTTATCCATAGTTTGTTATGATCCACACAGTCCAATGCCTTTGCAGAGTCAATAAAACACAGGTAAACATCTTCCTGGTATTCCCTGCTTTCACCCAAAATTCATACGACATCAGCAGTGGTATTCCTCCTTCCACGTCATCTTCTGAATCCAGCTTGAATTTAGTTCCCGTCTACATACCGCTGCAACCGTTTTTGAATGATCTTCAGCAAAATTCTACTCGCGTGTGATAGTAATGATATTGTCTGATAATTTCTGTATTCTGTTGGATCACCTTTCTTTGGAATGGGCACAGATATGGATCTCTTCCAGTTGGTTGGCCAGGTAGCTGTCTTCCAGATTTCTTGGTGTACATGAGTGAGCGCTTCGAGTGTTGCATCCATTTGTTGAAACATCTCAACTGGTATTCCATCAATTCCTGGAGCCTTATTTTTCACCAATGCCTTCAGTGTAGCTTAGACTTCTTCCTTCAATACTGTTGGTTCTTCATCATATGCTACCTCCTGAAATGGATGAACATTAACCAGTTCTTTTTGGTCCAGTGACTCTGTGTGTTCTTTCCATTTTATTTTCCTGCTTCCTGTGTCTTTCAATATTTTGCCCATAGAATCCTTTAATATTGCAACTCGAGGCTTGAATTTTTTGTTCAGTTCTTTCAGCTTGAGAAATGCTGAGCATGTTGTTCCCTTTTGGTTTTCTAACTCCAGGTCTTTGCACATGTCATTATAATACTTTACTTTGTCTTCTTGAGCCGCCCTTTGAAATCTTCTGTTCAGCTCTTTAACGTCATCATTTATTCCTTTTGCTTTAGCTACTCTATGTTCAAGAGCAAGTTCCAGAATCTTTACTGACATCCATTTTGTCCTTTTCTTTCTTTTCTGTCTTTTTAATGACCTTTTGCTTTCTTCATGTATGACGTCCTTGATGTCATCCCACAACTCGTCTGGTCTTTGATCATTAGTGTTCAGTCCATCAAATCTGTCCTTAAGATGGTCTCCAAATTCAGGTGGGATATACTCGAGGTCATATTTTGGTTCTGGTGGACTTGTTTGAATTTTCTTCAGCTTCAGCTTGAACTTGCATATGAGCAATTGATGGTCTGTTCCACAGTCGGACCCTGGTCTTGTTCTGCCTGATGATGTTGAGCTTTTCCATCGTCTCTTTCCACAGATGTAGTGGATTTGATACCTGTGTATTTCATCCGGTGGGGGTAGGGTGAGGCAAGTGAGGCGCCTAGGGCTCAATATTTAAGGAGGCACTCACTCTCAGGTGCTGACCCAGCACTTGCATGACCCTGAAAGTGTGTGCCTCCTTAAATTTTGTGCCCTAGGTAGGGATGTCTGGACTCATGAGTTCAATGAAAGTTACAGAGCCTGGCTGTATTCTCCTGGGAAAGAAACTCCCTGAAGCAACACAGTCTCCTCCCTCAGGTAAGTCCCTCCCCGAGGGCAGTGCATCACCCCTTCAAACAGGTGCCCATGAAGCAGGGCTCTGTGCCTCCCCCCACAGTGCCAGGGCTGGGTACTGCCCCATGGAATGCCACCACACACCCACCCCAAGCCCTGGAGGCCTGCAGTCAAGGGAGATGAGTGTCCCAGGCCCTGGAGGGGGACAAGAGGCCACCTCACCTGTTGGAGGGTCTGCTCTTCCAGCAGGGCAAAGGCAGCAGAACCAGGCACAAGGAATTGGGACAGGAAGGGCTGCATGGCTGTGAAGTGGATGCTGACTGTCTCCAAGACCAAGTTGGTCAGGGTGGACCCTGCAGAGCCAGGGTGGGAGTTCAGGAGACCCCAGGGACCTCCCCAACCACCACAACCTGCTTTGGGGCCAGAGCAGGAGTTGGACCTGTGGGCAAGCAGGGAAGCATTAGGGTAGGGGGCAGGGGCCGGGCAGGGGCCGGGCAGGGGCTGGGACTCACCATCAGAGGCCAGGCTGTTCTCTGCCAGGGATAGGTTCCCCAGCATCTGCCTTGAGGCCTTCACCTTGTGGTATAAAATCCAGAGGACTTGGCAGGCTGTGGGACCTGGGGCATGGCCCCCAAACACAAGGGAGGCATTCACTGCCACGGAGCCGGGCCTGTGGACAGAGGTAGGCCTGTGGACAGAGCCGTGTCCTCAGCAGGGGTCCTGCGGGGCCAGGAAAAGCCATGGGCTGAACAGAGGAGGCCCAGAGTGGAGCCTGACTCAGGGCAGGTCACATCACCCCTCTGGGCCTCAGCTGCCTCCTAGGTAAAACAGGGATAATGACCCCTTTCCTACAGGATAGTGTGAGGTCTGATAACACAGTCAGCAGAGCACAAAGCAGGCTCTCGGTGAAAGTGAGTTCCCATGGACACCCCAGCAAGTCAGCTGTAATGGGGATACTGTGAGGCCTGTCCAGGGAGAGCATGGGGCAGGGGTTACCCAGCCAGGCTGCAGATGGCTGTCTCAGGAAGCCAGCCTGGGCCAGGCTGAGAAAAACATCCTTGGCTGTATCACGAGGAGCAGGGGCTCTGGAGAAAGGGAGGTGACAGGCCTGGGGAATTCCTGCAAGCCTGTGGGAGATGGAACAATGGCCAGGTCCTGAGGAGGCAGCCTGGCTGCTGCAAGGGGCTGAAGGAGCTTGTGGGGAAACACCTGGAAACAAGCAGTTTCGGGATCCACGATTACTTTTCATTGGTCTTCCCTTGAGTGCCTGTTTGTGCTGTTTTATCCCGGGTTGGGGAGACAAAACTTGTGTTCAGGCCCAGGGCAGGGAAGTCACAGAGGGAGATTTCAGTTCGTTGGAAGGGAAAGCTTTCTAACTAGCTGGAGACAATGGCCTGAAGAGATAGTGAGTTCCCCATCACTGGGAGTATTCAAGCATCTGCACTTGTCTATAGGACTCAAGGTCCACAATGAGCTCACAACTCAAGCGGGGCTGTGATGATGTGAACTTTCTCAACCTTTCTTGTGAGACTGCAGGGCTGGCATCCATGGGCAAATGTGGCTTTGGGTCCCCTGAAGCATCCTATTCCCCCAGAGGCTCAGAACCAGAAAGGGCCTACCCCAAGGGGATTTGCATCCATTTACATGCCCCTATCCCTAAGGAAGTGCCCAGATATTCTTACTACCCTTTCCTCCCCACTGTACTCAGACAATGCCTGGCATCCCTGCCCAAATCCTGCAGCCAGAATCGGGGCTCAGAGCAGGTAGATGGTCACTTGAGGTCGCACAGCACAGCCAGTAGCAGAAACAGATGTGGGCCACCTGTCTGCCATCCCGGACTCTTCCTGCCCCCCAGGTGCTCCTAGACATGATGGGGGACAGGGCAGAACTGGGCAGCCTGGAAGAGTGCCCTCGTGGCCGGAGAAGGCACAGACTGGCTGGCAGGTAGGTGGCAGACCCTGAGCACCGCGCTCACTCACCTGAAGACCAGGACGCTGATGCCCTCAAAGCTGGGGAAGGCCTTGTGATAGACAGGCTCCAGCTGGGGAGGAGGCAAATGAGCGTTGTCATGGCGCCACCCAGCACTTCCATCAGCACTAGCTCCCCGTGCCCTAACCCACCCCTCTCTGCAGCCCACCGCCTTCCTCACACACCCTCCATCATCTCCGGCCTGGCCCCTGCAATGCTTTGCTCACCGACCACCTGGACTGTCTTGACCCCACCCAAGCCATTCGCCACGCGGCAGCCAGAGATAATCTGACAGTCACTCTCTACTGAAAATCAGGAGCATGGCTCCAGCCCCCAAAGGTTACTGCTTCCCCATCGTCCAGGGAAAGGCAAGCACACAGCCTTCCTAGGCTTCCCCTCTCTGCTCTGTCCCCTTGAAAATTGCTCTCCAATCATCCTCTGCTCTGTACCCCCACAGCCATATGGGCCCAGACCTCGACCGCTCTCACCTGGATGGCGGCCCCTGCCTCCCAACTGGTCTCCCCTTCTTCCCCTCTTGCCCTGGCCCCAGTCTGTTCCCCACACAGCCCCTCTCCCCTGTACACCTCTATCTCTGCCTCCTCTGACCACCTTTCCACCTTAGGGTCCTCGCACATGCTGTTCCCTCTGCCTAGAAAGCTCCGCCCCCTTTCATCTGGCTACCTCCTCCCTATCCCCTGTTCAAATTCCCCTTTCTCAGAGAGGTGATCTCTGAGTGACCTCCCTGCCCCTGGCAATCTAAACCCAGTCCTCCCTTTGTCCTCTCTGCTTCTCCTTTCTGAAGCTTACCACTATTATAATTACATCTGAATTTGTTGGATCATTTGTTCTACATCTGTCTCCTCTTCCAGACTGCGGACTCCCTGAGAGCAGGAGCCTTGTTTGTTTTTGCTCCCTGTAGTACGCTAGCACTTAGTACAGGCTTTATACAGTCGGCTTGCAATTGGTTGTATGAAAAAATGAATGAGGGAATGAATGAATGAACTAATGGACAGACACTCAGGCGGAGTACCCCCTGGATGACAATAGGCAAGAAACGGCACTTCCTGGCCAGGGCATCTCCTCTGCCTGAGGCTCCAGACCGAGGCAGGAGCCAGGTTTGGTTTTGGCGGCAGGATCTCTGTCCACTGACCACCTCACTTTGCTGGGGGTGAGGCCCTATTGGTCCCTGACAATGCTTTGGGCAGAGAAAATGCCACCCAGTGACACAATTGAGATTCTTCTCTAGTTCCCTGGTGAATGAGAGCTTCACCTCTGAAAGCGTTTTCTTTCCACATCTACTCCCCAGACGTATTTCTGCCTGGGCTCTCCCTTTCTGCTGGAAGCTCCTCAGGGACCAGTAAAAAACCAGTTGCCATCCAGTCGACCCCAACTCATGGTGATCCCACCTGTGTCAGAGTAGAACTGGGCTCCACAGGGTTTTCAATAGCTGATTTTTCAGAAGTAGGTCACCAGGCGTTTCTTCCGAGGTGCCTCTGGGTGGACTCGAACCTCCAACCTTTAGGTTAGCAGCTGAGCATGTTAACTGTTCACGCCACCCAAGGACTCTTCTCAAGAGACAGGGTCTCAGTTTCCTAGGTTCCCATCTCCCAAGTAGAAGCACTGGGTGGGTGCACCTTCCTCCCTTCCTCCCTTCCTCCCTTCCTCCCTCCTTTCCTTCCACCCTTCCTTCCACCCTTCCTTCCTTCCTTCCGCCTTGAAGATCTGGACGTGGCTCTACCCGGCTGCCCTCAGGGAGCTCTTGATCTGGTGGGAGCAGCAAGTTTCTATGGGACAGAGCAGAAAAGGCAGCTGACAGCGGGAGGGATGCTGACTCTGCCGAGGTGGGGGTCTGAGTTATCAGGGAAGGCCTATCGAAGGAGGCAATCTCCCTGAAGGCAGAAAAGGGAGGGAAGGGTCTAGTGGCCCAGGGTGAAGAACAGCAAGCACAAGGCACAGAGGTGTAACAGGGCCTGGCATGCTCAGAAAGGAAGAGGGGGTGGGCTGGGGTCAGCATTGTCCACTGATCACCTGAGTGGGTGGGGGCGGGTGCCCTCACCTGGTCTCGGACCTTCTCACTCAGCAGCTGGTGCTCCAGGGAAGCAGGGTTCCAGAGAGCAGTTGAAAAGGCTTCGCTGGTGATTCTGAAGTTCACGGAGCGGAACACATGACTTGGTCCTTGAGAGAAGGATGCTGAGCCCTGCAGTGTGATAGCCTGGCTGGGGTCAGGTAGGGTAGAGGACTGGGTGGAGCCTGCACCTCTGGGGCTGGGGGACTCTGGGACCCGCAGGGAGCCAGAGGTAGGTGGGGCAGAGGGAAGGCAGGAGGTGCATCCGAGGGAAAGGGCAGCTGTAGGGGCTGGGCTGGAAGGGAGCACTGGTCTTGGCTGGACTGTCCGCTGAGGTGTGGCTGGCTCTGTAACCATCAGGGATGGCTTAAGACCAGCAGGTGGGAGGCTGGAGACACTGATCAGAGAGTCTGTGATTGTGGGTGGGAACATAGATGCAGAAGGGTCTAGAAAGATTCCAGCTATGGTAGTTAAGGCGGAAACTGGGGCCAGGACTTGTGACGATGATGTTGGTGGCCACTGAAATAGTGATTGTAGTGGCAATGGAGAATGTGATCGTGACAGTAACAAAGATGGATGTGAGGGTGATGGCGATGAGGATGGGGTCAATGCCAATGATGACATCAATGAGGAGAGTGGTAATGAAGATAATGAAGGTGGTGGTGGTGGTGGTGATGATAACTGTCTTGGTAGTGACAGTGGTGGAGATGGTGTGTCGGAGAAGAATGAGGAAGCTGGTGCGGGGGAAGCCGGTGATGAGGAAGGTAGTGATGTAGGTGGTGCCGGAGATGGGGAGGAGGATGGAGGCAACGCTGGTGAGGGAGGTGGGGATAAAGATGGTGACAATGGTGGCAGTGATAGTGATGGCAACTGTGAAGACGGTGCTGTTGAGGGCAGTGACAATGTTAAAAGGCCACTGGGCCCAGGCCCAGCCACAGAGGATGCTGGCTGTGACTTGGGGGTCCTCAGGGCTTCAGGCTTGGCCTGTGCTGATGGGGCTGGTCCATATGTGACCCTGCCTGAGGCCCCAGGAGCTCCCAAAGGGGCAGGTTGGTCCAAGAGGGCATCCAAGACCGAGGATAAGACTAGAGAAGCTTTGTAGTATTCAGATGCCTCTGGAGGAAGGGCTCCTGCCCTCTCAGTGGAGGCAAGGTCCAGCAGATGTTGCCACCCAGGGCTTTGCAGACAGGAGCTCCTTGTTGCTGCTGCCTTGCCCAGCAGATACATCAAGGGCCATGGGAGACCAACCAGGGTCTTTGTGAATAAGAAGAAGGGCCAGGACAGAAGCCGAGACCACCAGGAAAGCTGCAGACCAGAAGAGGCCTGCTCTGCCAGCCACCCAGAGGGGTGGGATTGCCCTACAGCCCCTTAGATAGATGCCTGGCCCTCCCTGCCACCTCCCTCATTGAAAGGGCCTGAGGAGAACCAAGCTCTGGCCCCAGCTCTGCCCCTAAACCACTGAGCTACCCCAGGCAAGTCATCTTCTCTCTCTGTTCCTAGCCCACCAGAGACAAGGCAGCCCTGC